GCGCTGCACTAGTATAGCAGAGGTCAGTGGTTCGAATCCCGTACGGGCCTGATTTTTTTCAGGTCTGATTTTCGCTATTGCTTAAATAGCGCTATCTACTGCGAGGATCGTGCACCATATGTATCTAATACCGCAGTTCAAAATATATGAACTTCATATATTTCATTGTATCTGACAAATGACCAAGTCGCTATTGTTTTTAGTTTCATATCTGATTTCTTACCTGTAGTCGATTGCCTTGGTATGACGGAGAAAAAGACGAATAAAGTTAAAAATAGCATCAAAGTTCCCTTCGCACACATCATCTTTCCAGTGGTTTTCAGTTCTGTGAACAGCAGGTCTTTAAGAAAACGTATTTCAGAACACCAATTAAAGCGGAAATGACGTTTAGGTGCTTTCCGTAAAAAGGAAAGGGGATTGTCTCAAACCGACTCAAACAATTGAACTTGAAACGCGAAATAAATCCTAAGCTCACGCAAACTTTACCATGCCAATAAAACCGGAGCATTTTAGACAAGTTTTTTTTCTTTTTTTTTTATTATCATTTTATGAGTAACGACTTTTGAAAGACAGGCACTTCTCGAATACAGTCCTCGGAGAATGAGTGCTTTTGCGTTACGAAAATTACACATCCCCCTTCACACAAACAGACCGGTCATTTTCAGATGTTCGTCAAGAATTTGTACAAAGTTTGTGCTATCAGCGTTTCGTCTTGTTTCATTTTTGTTTCATCTTGATTCATCCTGTTTCGTTTTGTTTCATCGTTTCATCTTGTTTCATCGTGTGAAACCTCGGGGTACGTGACATTGAGTACTCAGCACTATGGCTGAGGGACAATATTAACCCCTCCCCCCTCCCCGAGTGATTAATGATCATGCGATCCGTATATCAAATATGAGGTCACTCTTTATGATCTTTCGACTTTTCTTTCATTCCTTTGTCCGATAAATAATAGACTAAATTGTGGGTAATGGCCTTCGAATCACAGCAATTTCTCGCACAAATCTCCTCTTTGTAAATCAATTCATGAGAGCCAGCCAACTTCCACGGACTTCCTTATCTCCGGTGGAATATTTGCTTTATTTGAGAGAAGGTCAGCGATAGAAATTTTAATATGACGTGACATGAGGTAACACTGTTACAAAATGCCTTCTCATTACAGTCGAAGCTTTCCAAGCAACCACTTCTCGTGGGTGGAAAGTTGTCTTTTTTACAAAGCTGGGGTCTTTTAAGCGATCACCTTTCCTTTGTACGGGTTTATCTTGTGGAGTCTGGTACGGAAGAGCTTTTGCACATAATTTTTCGCCCGGGACCTAAACAACCTCGTCATCATTTTCTCCATTTTGAAACTTCTTCATAACTTCTACGTATACTCAAGAAAGAGAGGAAAGAAACGGTTTTTGTGGTACTGGTTCAAGTTTATTTGCTCCAAAAACTTAATGCAAATGCTTTCAATCCAGATGTGTAAAAAGTAACACTTACCTTTCAACCTCTTTCCCATGTTACAGTGGACTCATTCTAGTTACTCATGCACTTTTCCATTGGGCGGTAAAACGGCGTTTTATTTGCCACAGACGTCGCCGTCGCTTCTAAAATGCAAATGCTTAAAATCCCAAGCTATGATCCCCCAGCAGGCTCTTCGAGGTGGTTAATCCTTGACACACTTGCCCAGGTCATATTCGATGTCGACATACTTACCAACAGCAACAGCTCCAGAAACCTTCTAAGAAAAAAGCTAAAAAGGGTGAGTAAAGCATCAAACGTTGTTTGCAAAGAGTTTGAAACTGCTCTCAGAACAGAGCCGTATTTAGAAGAGACCAGCGTCCGACAACGCAAGATAAACTGCAAAAATTGTTCTACATTTGCAAAACATCCGCATTCGTCCAAACCAAGACACCTGATGAAAGAGAACACTGTCGAGGACGATTTTAACAGTGGAGTCTTTTAAAAACGCCCAATTTCTATTGTGGACAGGTGACTACAGATGTTTTTCAAAACGATGACGTGAAAAAAATCACATTCTGTCTTTACATTAGTGTTTCCGAGCGTTTTTTGTTGACAATGGGGGTGGGGCGGGGGAACGTAATAAACTGTATCAATGGATACCGTAAACAACGTATTTCTCTTCCTGATTTAGGGAGTCGACTCCAGTTTCCTTCGTCGTCGTTACTTTTTGGTCATGCAACTTTTTTTCTGAGAAAAAAAACGTGTTCTGCAGTAAGACCAAAAAAGCTGCGAAGGAGCTGGGATGGAATCGACTGTTCAATCCGTGACTTACCACAACGTGGATGTTGGCGCATGACTGTGGCGAGATGATGGGATCCGCCGAACAGTTCTTCTCTGGCACTTGACTTGCATTCTTAAGTGCTTCTTTCCAGTCATGGGCAGCTTTTATGCACATTTCAGTCTAGGACCACTTTTCTCCATCGACAGACTCTGAATTCTTGATTTTGATGCAATATTTGACGGCTTCATCATAAATTTGTTGGATGTTCTTACACGGGTCGCCAGACATGATTCTGATACTGGCCGTGTTTTCGGTTACTCCCCAGTGATCGCTGTCTGTCACGCGGATTTGTAAATCAAACAGTTGGCCTTCCTTGAGCACAAAGTCTTGCGTTACCCTTATTCGTCCAGTGAATCGATGAATGCAGAAATAATTTTCTGGTTTGACAGCGCCTGTCTTCAAGCAGAGATCGACCGAGAATTTGGGGCAGGGACCATGCTGTATACAATGAGAACCAATTTCAAAACTACGTCGCTCTCGCATTAAGTCAATGCGTGACTGTAGTGGTTGTGTGACACCATCTACGCTAAACTGGCCGAACCAGGGAAGACAGAACTGTATCTACAGTAACATTCGCGACTACCGTTTGGTTGTTGATGTTTTCAGGGAGGAAAACTACTTGGTCATGAATTTGCAGAGGATTTGGTACTAAATTTGTGCTATCAGCGTTTATTTTTGTTTCATCTTGATTCCTCCTGTTTCGATTTGTTTCATCGTTTCATCTTGTTTAATCATGTTTCATCGTGTGAAACCTCGGGGTACATGACATTGAGTACTCAGCGCTATGGCTGAGGGACAATTTTAACCCTTCCCCCCTCCCCGAGTGATTAATGATTATGCGATCCGTGCATCAAATACGAGGTCACTCTTTATTATGGTTCGACTATTCTTTCACTCCTTTGTCCGATAAGTAATAGACTAAAGTGTGGGTACTGGCCTTTGAATCACAGAAATTTCTCGCACAAATCTCCTCTTTGTAAACCAATTCACGAGAGCCAACCACCTTCCACTGACTTCCTTATCTCCGGTGGAATATTTGCTTTATTTGAGAGAAGGTCAGCGATGGAAATATTTTCATGACGTGACATGAGGTAACGCTGTTACAAAATGCCTTCGCATTACAGTCGAAGAATTCCAAGCAACCAGTTCTCATGGGTGGAAAGTATTTTTTTTTTTACCAAGGTGGGATCTTTTAAGCGATCACCTTTGTAAGGGTTTATCTTGTGGAGTTTGGTACGGAAGAGTTTTCGCACAGAATTTTTCGCCCGGGACCTAAAACAACCTCTTCATCAATTTCTCCATTTTGAAACTCCTTCATAACTTCTACATATACTCAAGAAAGAGAGGAAAGAAACGTTTTTTGTCGTACTGGTTCAAGTTTATTTGCTCCCAAAACTTAATGCAAATGTTTTCAATCAAGATGTGTAAAAAGTAACACTTACCTTTCAACCTCTTTCCCATGTTACAGTGGACTCATTCCAGTTACTCATGCACTTTTCCATTGAGCGGTAAAACGGCGTTTTATTTGCCACAGACGTCGCCGTCGCTTCTAAAATGCAAATGCATAAAATCTCAAGCTATGATCCCCCAGCAGGCTCTTCGAGGTGGTTAATCCGTGACACACTTGCCCAGGCAATATTCGATGTCGACATACTTACCAACAGCAACAGCTCCAGAAACCTTCTAAGATAAAAGCTAAAAAGGGTGAGTAAAGCATCAAACGTTGTTTGCAAAGAGTTTGAAACTGCTCTCAGAACAGAGCCGTATTTAGAAGAGACCAGCGTCCGACAACGCAAGATAAACTGCAAAAATTGTACTTGTAAACGTTTAACACGTGGAGAGAAGNTTTTTTGGTTTCCGTGTGGTATATACTAAAACCACTTTTCACCTTCGGTGAATAACTTTGAAAGATGCGTTGAATTAATTATCCATAGATCACAACGAGGATTGATTGAACATTGTGCAACACTTATTCTTCAGATATATATATATATATATATATATATATATATATATTTAATACGCTGTCTCGTTTTCAACTAAATATCTGTGGATATCTAGTACTTGTGGCAAGCTGGGGAGGTCCTATACTCACCCTAGGTATAAGTTTTATGTTCAGTCTTAGCAATAGATTTTAACAAAACGATTTCGTTTGAAACTTTGTTGGCGCTCACCTAAACAGTGGGACTCGCTCGACACTCCTGTCTTGTTAAATGTTCGTTTCTCTCCTGGACACTTCTTACACTCCCTTTGGCCTTTTTCATCCTGATATGTATCTGATGGAGATCTGAGACAGGAACTGTTAAAACCAAGAGCGAAACGAAATCCCGCAGCACAACCTAAAGAAATAACATCCGGTGAGTAAGGGTGGCCTGAAAAACTTTAATCAATCAAAAAATAGACATTACATCAGAGCAGTTTTCAATTGAGTGTTGGAAAACCAAAACGAGGAAATCACAACTGCCAATCAGAACAAAGGTTAGCTTCATCATTAGCCAATGAGAATTCATAGTAGAAACAGGCAACCTGCTTAAAGCGCAGGAAAACGCGAGCGACCAAGTTATGATTGGTTTTAGTTTTGCATTTGATTGGTTGAGATGGTGGCGCGAGTTTCCTGGACCAATCACAGAGCGAAGTGGAGCAAAACCAAAGCAATGCAGGATCATTTTCGACACTAAATTGAAAATTTGTTTTGGAGGCTAGCAAGCAACAGTGATAATTACTGATAACCCTGCGAGTCTGTGATCATCTATAGCAGAAAAAAGGATAAAAAAAGTCATAGAGGAAAAATCTTTAAATATGATTTGTTAGTACTGCATACGATTTTATGTTTCCCTAATAACAGTCAAATATGAATCCCCTATTTGGATATCAGAGTGGAAACCACAAAAGAGAGAAGGTGCTTCAGCGCAGTTTTGTGGTTGCCATACCTGTGCAGTTGGCCTGGTTTGTCATTCCTGTTTTACCAAATGTTCCTATATTAACTGGACAAGTTTTACAAGATGTTTGTCCTTGTTCATCCTGATAAGTGTCAGCAGGGCAAGGGAGACAAGAACGGCCGGTGACGAAGTGAAATCCAGGCAAGCAACCTGAAAAAGTAATACAATTAATCTGGGACGTTTGAGAAAAACACAAAGCTGTTTTTCATTGATGGAATGTCTATTTCCCTAAAAAACAAAGAAACAGACAAAAACAAAACAAAAAACAAAACAAAAAACAAAACAAAAACCAAACAAAACAAAACAAAACAAAAAAAGAGACTAGCAGCCTTACCGCATTTTGTACTTGACACCTTAATTGAGCCAACGGCACAACAGGGTGGCGGTAGACTCCCACCACAGCATGACCCGTTCTCCATGAAAGATGGCTGGATAATTTGGTATGTAGTATTGTTTTGAGCATTGTGTGGAGCGTTTCGGTCGATATATCCTTTCAAGGTGAAATTTGCAGCGTTTATACAGGTGGTAACATTCGAAGTCACTTGATCATCAGCTATGTTATTTGATGCTGTATATGTTACCGGTACTCTGAAGTAAACATTGCTAACTCCTGGCGGAGATGATGTTATATTTCTGATCGTGAGAATCACGTCATTGCATTCTTGAAGAGTTAGGTAAAGATTTTGAAAAATCAGAAAAGAACTGTAAAACTCTTCTGTGATATTTTTGATGGTGTTAGTTGTAAGGCCTCCTGGGATTTGGTAATGGAATATGGCGTCTACTTTAAAGCACCGTTTTACGTCGTAGTTACCAATCAATGGAAGGCCTGCAAGGTAAACACACAATACTGTGAACTTATGTTTATCAAGAGAAATAAAAAAACGGAACGGATATCAGAAGGGTATATCCAGGGCGGAGAGAGGTTGGGAAGCTCTTTCTGCCTTGGTGATCTGAGCTCATGGGCGCCCTTTCTATTCCATCTTACCGACAAATTTCCTGATATTGCAGGCTCACCTGAGCAGCTGGAATTGCTGGTCATTCCTGTTTTTGCAAATGTTTGTTTTCCTCCTGGACACTTCTTGCATGAACTTTGACCTTGTTCGTCTTGATAGGTGTCTGGAGGACAACGCTGACATAGACTGCCAGGAACAAAATGGAAGCCTGGCAAACAACCTGAAGAAAGGAGAAAAGCTTCTGAAATCAAAGAAAAGGAATATTATAAAATGCATGGTTCATTCATACTTGTGGTCTAAACGAGTAAGGGACTGGGTAAAATCTCTTTGAAAAAAAGAGCAGTTTTCAATTAAAAAAAAAACAGAACCAAAGTTATCCTAACGACAGATTAGAAAAAAAGGTTTAAATTATTATTGGCTAAATTCTTGAAGCGTGGGAAAACACGAATGACTAAGTCGCTATTGTTTTTAGTTTAACATCTGATTGGTTTATAGGAGGGCGGGAGATTTCTGGACCAATGACAGAACAAAGTTTAGTAAAACCAAAGCTAGGATCCCGGATTACTTACGATACTCAATTCACTTATGATCTGTATGCAATATTAGCAAGGCCTTTTACAAATGATTGGAGAAAAGGAAAGTCATGGTGGGT